ATCACTTTGCATATGGACTATTCAAAACAAGCACTTGATATATTCATGGACAAATCCTATTTTAGTTTATTAAAAATAGTTCACAAAAAATATAATTTTTTATATGTAAAAGACTTATAATGTTCACTGAAAAATTTTGTGAAGACATGCACACTATATTAAAAGTTAGTAGTATCAAATCTACAAAGACTTTAAACGAGTACAAAGAGGTCACGTGGTCAGTCAAATCGACCAAGCCCCTATTGAGAGAGTTAATTCATGTACTGTGAGTGTAACTTTACATGACTTATCATCACTATTGGCCAGGCCCCAACCAGATAGCCAAGGTTCCACTGCTTGGGGTAGGAATTAATTATATGGCCATGGTCCCCATATCCCACATTGGTGGCTAGGGGAATTGGACCGCAAGATACATATATATTTATACATATACTTAAGAGTGGATCCCAGCCTGTAGCCATAAAGTGATGCATTCTGAGTCACCGAAATCATGATAAGAAGGTAAGCCACACCAAAGTGGACAAACCTTCTATTGAACCTGAAGAAGTCAAAAAGGCAACACCCCAGGCTCGGAATGACGAGATCTTGTATGCCTTATTCAACCCAAGGAAACAAAACTCATCAAGTCTGGAATTATGAACACTCATTTTCACTCCCCAACCATGTGGGCAAGATAAATTCCAATTGCCCCCATCATTACGAGGAGGATGTGGAACAAACTGTGCTCAACCAAGGACCCAAGATGGGACCACTCTGAGTTTGGAATTACGAGGAGACAATGGATCCTCTTCCATGAACAATGTACTGAATCAATATTGATCAAAAAGAAGGGCCACACTCAACCCAACTGGATAGACTAGTGTTAAATCTGAACTGGTGTTATGAGTAGGCTCCCATGTAGGGTGGTGGTGCCTCTTCTACCAACATCCTGGAAAAAACATCCAGGGACCCAGGTAGGAGGGCCCTCAACTTCACCCTCTTCTCCAAGAGTGGAGGAAGTTCACTCTAACACTCTGGAGGAAAAGCCTCTGTCCACCACCCCAGTGACTGGAAACTAGGTGTGGTAAAGACTCCCTAGCTCCACTAGTAGAATCTATGGGGTATTGCATGTTGCAGAGTCCTGAGGAACAGTGCTCTAGAAACACTGCAACAGGTGAAGTAAATTTTCTAGATTTTCAAAAGCAAACTGACCCTGATTTATTCAATCCAATGATTGGCAGGGATGGGCAGGATACCCTTATGCTTTACTCATGATAGTCCATGAGTGGCAGTCTAACATAGTACAGCAATACCACCCGGTCAACCTCTAGGTGGTCTTATGGAACACCTCATTTCTACAGAGCCTGTTGCAAACTAGATAAAGTATGTTGAATTAGTGGTTGCTAGTGTGGAATTGGTTTGATAAAAGCACACCTGCCTGAGCAACACTTGCCACTAAGTGGGATCGTGTGAAAACGAGACAAAGGATCCTGAAAGGTACAGAAGAGACAAGTATAGCAATGAAAATACTCACCCCTCTGTATAATCTAATGGAAGTGGTTAACCGTATTGTTATGGGTAGCTAGGGGTCAGAGGACATGTCATCACGTTTATAGACTTATATCAAAATTTTATTAAACTGCTATTTTATAAATGTATGACAATAAACTTGGTATCAAATTATAGATTTGAATTAAAATTTTAGTATTATACATTAGTTAATTTCTTAATTTGAAAGTAAATGTTATAAAAAAAATGCTAAATATCGATTTTTGTGTGTCACACTGGTACGTCATCCTCTGGATTTGGTCAGATTACATTTCATGATGCCCACAATACAATGTCTATAGTTTCATATGAATTATAAATCAAATTTCTGATATTGGCAAGCTAGAATAAAAAATAAAAACCTCCTTGGTTTTCTATTTACTGAGATATCATAATATTTATTGAATCCACCATATTGGCTCTGCCCACCACTTCATCATTTGAGAAGACTTGTTTATCTATGCTTGCTTTTTTTATACCTATAAGTTTATAACCAATCGAAAGCTCTGCATTTCCTATACATAATTCTGTTTGTCTTTCTAAGTTATTTATGAAAGAAAAGCTCTTATATTGTTGGAGAGTTTGAAGTATTATGATCAATGCTCTTTTCCGAATAGAAATTAGATTGTTTTAGACCCAAATACATCATAGTTAAGAAGCTTGATAAATTACAATAGATTTTGGTGGTATCAGTATAGTCAGTTATAATTTTTTGTATTCATATATGCACATATAAATTCTACAAAAATTATTTTTTTCTACATCGACACATGAATTTGGACAAGTACGACTCAAAAGTGCAAAAAGGAATTTCAAAAAATCATAAGTAGTTGAGATCATTGTTTTCCAAATATTTTTTATTCACTGTTCTATGTTTAGGAGAAATAACTTAAATTTAAATATTTATTTGTAAATAGTAATAACATACATATATATATATTTATGTAATGTATGGTAACTAAAACCTCACTGTAACTTACAAAATATTGGAAACTATACATTTATTGATGACTGTGTAAACATGGTAAAATAGGAAACAGAATGTCCATAAGCACTTTCACACCTCTACCATCACTAAATCCTGACCATCCAAGTTTATTGAATCAGATACAACTTTGTACAGAGCCTTATCATAAATATCTTCTCTCACTTTCATAAGGTACTTTAAACAATTCTTGTTGCAACCACTGTACTGTAAAGAAGCTGGCAAACCTACCCCACTGTGTCCTCAGAACTGCAATTTGAATAATTTCTATAGAATACTTCCACTTATCAACTTATTGGATCAGATCAGCCTTTCTACAAAGTCATAACATAAACATTTTATAATACTTTAGACAATTGTTGTTGTAACTGTCAACAAGTAGATAAATCATACCAAACTATGTTTTTAATGCAGGGAAAGTTCTGGGAATTGTGCCGCATCAGCTTATTTAATATTGATAGTGTCAAAGTACTCAAAGTACAGTAACACCTAAACAGTAATGGTGATTCAAAGCTTTAACTTCAGCACGTTTGTACTTCAGCCACTAACAGTAGAATAAACAGGGGAAATAGGTGTAAAAGTTTAGAAGAAACTCTCAGGAGATTTACTTTGGAACTTTGTTGTCCATATTGAAAAGAACAGAGTTCTATTCATTTTGTTTCTTCTAGTTTCTAAGCTATCTGCTAACAATAAAATAACTACAGAAAATATGTGTGAAAAGGTGTGAAATTTTGTGATCAATACTAACAATACTATAGATTATATTTTGCATTTGCAACCTTTATTTTCGTTATACTTTGATTACTTACCTACAACCTGTAGAATGAAGTATAATGTTACAGTAAAGAAAATAACAAATAAAATATAAAGCTTTACTGAAATGAAACGTTTGGTATTTAATTACGAGGTTTTATATTTTAAATTTGTTTTCACTATTCATTATTATAAATGTAACTAAAATCATAAAAACGGAAACTTATTAAGTAAGATAATGAAAGAAAAATAATAAAAATCTTCATAAGGTATATGCACCAGAAGCTTGTGCATTACCATATTCGATACAGTAATGTGAGCTGCACCTGTACCATGTAATTTTAAATTTGTGTCGAGTTAATTTTCATCAGACACGGTTCAAAAATAAATAAAACAAAAAGTAATAAATACAAATAGATGTATACTGTTATGAGATTTAAGCTATTTACAATAAACATTTGTGGTTTCCTGTTACTATTTGCAGTTATTCTAAAAAAAAAAAAGGTAATTTAGATTTATTTCCTCATTTTTATGATGGTTACGAGGTTGGTCAAATCAACCAACACCATATAGAGTTAATATTGATAAAATAACAGGTTAAATATAAAGTTTTATCCAAAAAACTGTTTGATGATTATCTAAAAGGATATAAAGATTATGCAAATGAAACTTCACAAATTTCAGATAAAGAAAAGTATTTTTAATCTTAAAATTAAAATTTCTTTGCACATTGGATAGTCAATATTCTGAAAGAAAAAATTCCCAAGCAAATCTTTAATTAAAAAAATCTTAATACTTGATTTAAAAACCTGATATTTTGTGTAAAAAATCCTTGTAATATATTTTAATAGTCTGCAAAATTTTGTATAGATTCATGTACATTATCAAAAATTATAGTACTATTACTCTCCTGGATACTTTTGTGGTTATGAGCATATTAGTAGGGTTAAGATAGCTACAGGGGATAGTTGAACACCCTCAGATGAAGATACTGCCAGATCATGCAAATAATAGGAAATAAATGTATTGTGGAAGGTCCACATACCAGCCCTCGTGATGTCCTCTAGCAGGCCATTGAACTGGGCCACTAAGGACAGAGCAATGTGATGAATCTGATGACATGTGACTCACAGAAGTCCCCTCACCTCCACAGAGAGCAGAATAAGCAATATGGATCAACTTACGTACCCACCCATTCAAGGCAACTAGAGATAAATCCTGGGAAACTGAAGGGTGCAAATGAATAAAAGGTTGTTGTCTAGCATCTCTAAAGGTATTAGTGTGGGCAATAATACTTCAAGACCCTCACTGGACATAACAAATGATTGAAATCTCATCAGTCACAGAAGTGAGAAATAGTGATCAGATGAATTGATAAAAAAGACTTATCCCCTTCCATGGCTTACAGTGTCTTACAGAAGAAGAACTGTTCTGAGGTTGTAGGTAGAATGAGAAAGTATCCTGTGGACAATCCACACAAACCACTCTGACTGGCAATGTCTCCAAGTCAGCAGCAATGAAAAATAAACCTTCAGGAAAAATTGATGCATAACATATGAGGCTAAGGTCACAAACGGGTGTTGAGAAAGGGCATGTAATGTAACCTTAATATACCACATAGGTATAGCAATACTTAGAGGACAAATCAAGGTCAAGATAGCATCATTTCGAAAGCTTAGATTAATGGTTTTCTTTAGAATGTAAATCACAATCAGTACCAAGTAAGCAACTTAACTTAAGCACCTGCAAGTCAAATAGTTATGCATGTATTATAAATCAGTCATTGTTTATAGAACAAGTTTCATAAGTTTATATTACAACGTATTACTATTCACATTAAAAGATATAACAAAGAAGGAAGGGTCAAGTAGCAATATTATGCCATACCAATCAGGAAAGGATAAATATATTATAGAGATGACAAAAACACAAATGTATCTTGACATGTGATATTTTGTTTATTTTTTTTGCTGTTTAACTTAAACAATTTTTATATCAATTATGTATATTAGGAAATGTTCAGTTACTTTTGATAACATTTTTGTGAGAAAAACAAAAAATAAAACTGTAGGATTTGCAAAGTCTTATACCTGTGAACTGTTTTTAACTGTTGCAATACAATAATGTTGAAACAAATTATTATTAAACTAACAAACAGGTTAAGTCATTCAAAAATAATGAAAAACAAGTTTGTTGTACCAATGAATTTTTATAGTTAGATTCTACTATGCTCTTTAAAATCTTGCTCAAAAGCTTAACAATAATTCACAAGATATAACCGACTGTATTATGCACACAAATTATTTGTAAAAAATAAAAACATAAATTGTATGATTTGTCTTGACTTTTTCAGCAAAATTGTTTGATATTAGAAGGTAATGTCTTGAATATCTTAAGAACATAATCAGTTACAAACAAACCTTGAATAACAAGAGACATTTTGAAAGCCAGTGTAGAGTCCTTTAAAGCAACCAAAAAACGCTGAAGGTTGTAGTAGACTAGATGCAGTAGGTGAGAAGTAAAAAGCTCAATAACAAATGTATGAAAAGTCCCAAGATTTCTGGAAAAACATAAAATATATATCACAATAAACACAATTCTATCATGCATTTCTGCTCGTGCTCTTAGTCAAGGTTTGTTAGTGCAATTGAAATACAAGTATTTATGTTTCATAATTTTTTTATTTTCATGAAGATTAATAATTTTTCATAACAAGACTTCCTCATTAGTAACTATTTATATATATGTTTTAGCTAACTGTATAATAAGTTAGATCACTGAATAACTAAGCATTCATTATAATAGTGCAGTTTACTCAATGACATTAAGTAATTAAGGATATACTTTACTGCATTATTTAATGTAAAAGTTATATCAAAATAGACTTACCTCATAACTAATCTAAAAGTCAATAGACATAAATAGAATTTATATTACATCCTGTGGAAACTTGCTTGTTTTAATTTTTTAATTTTAAGTATTGTTATTCAATTTCTGCTGTGATAATCTGCTCTCACAATAGTATCTTATTATGAACCTTAGATAACTATATACAGGTATGCTTTCCAAGTTACTCTAAAACTATACGTCAGAGTTCCTTTTTTAGATGTCATTGTATACCATTCTTTCAGAATAATGTGTATATTTGGAGACAAATAATCATCAAACTACATGTATGTATTCTGCCACTCTGCATGTCACAATCAATTGCATTTTAGTTGTATTTCCATAGTTATAAGGTGCAATAGTTACACATGTTATATAAATTGTAAGTTTCTTTATTATCTTATACATTTTAATTTTGAATTCGATGACGAAAAACGCACTTTGAGACTAATAATGGAATAATAATGGCTTGAATGGGTAATGAAGAAAAACTTTAATATAAGTTTAACATAATAGCAAATGTACAATGTTTCGACAAGGTTTTGTCATCATCAGGTACAAGTAATTTATACTGACATGGATATATATATATACAGTATTGAACAAAGAGGTCACATGACCGGATACTGTTGCACAACTTAGAAGAAGTATCTTGGCACCTGGTGTGTTGGTTTAGAGTAGGGTTTTTTGTTCAATTAAGATGGATTCCTTGATTTTTCGTTTGTTTATGTTGGGTTTTTTGTTTAAAATCACTGTGATATACTATGGTTTTTTGAGTTGCAATGGTGAAAAACATGGGATGGTTTTTATTGTGTTCTGTCAATCTGTGTGTAGAATTCTGGGCAGTTATTGTATGTTATTTTGTAAATGACGTTGGTATTGTGTGATTCTAAATAATTCTTTTTAGTAATGATTTTAATTTAGGGCCGGGTTTTTGAGAGAATTTGACGTTGACAGGAATATTGTGTTTAATGGCTAGTTTTGTCCAAGTGTGGATAATTATTGACCTGGTTTCAGGAACAAAAGGTAAACTGCAGTGTAATGTATTGTTGTTGGGTTTGTTAGTATCAATTTTGTTCGTGAGTTGAGTTTTGTTGTGGGGAATGTTGGAGAGTTTTTCAACAACAGCTGGTGGGAATTTATTGGTGTGAATAAAGGAATGCTTTATGTGGTTAATTTCTTCATTTATGTAGTCCGTTGAACAGAGTCTTGTGGCTGTGTTTATGAGGTTTTTAAGTGTATTTAAGTGTTTTTAATTGTTTTTCGTGTGTGTTTGTTGGGTTGTTTGGGATGGCTTTGAATTCCTTTTTATCGGAAAAGATGTCGTTCATTTTGTCGATGTATTCTGAATTGTTCATGATGAGAGTAGTATTGCTTTTATCAGCTTTTAGTTGTACATTTGCTGTTATGTTCAACTTATATTAAAGTTTTTCTTCATTACCCATCAAGCCGTCTCCAACCGTTATCTTATACATTTTGTTATTTTTCCTTTACAAATACAATAACATCAACTGATCACCAAATCTAAATCATAAACAAAGTGGAGATTATCAATCATATCTGGCTAGTGAACAGTAACATTATATACTGTATCCATGCTTAGGAGGTATCTGATTCAGTAAATTACTGAAACGTTAAACTTTCATTGCCATCAAACTAAAGGAACACTTCACCATAACTAACACAATACCTAAACTAGCCTATCTATTAAAGCTTCATAAAAAAATCAATAACATAAAAAGTGCAACAGGTTTCAAACTCCAATGTAAATTATGCCTACTTTAATAATAAATCATGTCTATATCAATAAGAGCTTGTTGTTATTATTGCATAAATGAAATTAATTTCCTGAATGATATTTATGACAATTTCAATGATTTAGTGGTTACACTGTGGGTGACCCTGTATCACTTGAACAAATATTTATACAAGTAAAAATCTGTAACTTTAATTGGAATGTCACACACTTTTGTGGATATGCCTGAAAGAATTTTACTTGAAAATAGAATTTAATAAGAAAAGTGCAAAGTTCAGATATCAAGCTTTATTTTATATAGTATTTGGCATATAAAATGATACAGTTTCTTCATAAATAAAATGAACAGAAGGTAGCACGACTTATTATATTTAGCTTCCAGAAACAGCTATGTGATGTGTCTGACCTATTTAATGCAGCACAGAAACTGGAAATAAACAAAAATGTGTCCACACTACTTAAAGGTTTAGTCAAATGGTACTAGCATATACTTTTTAGTGAAGTACACTACTTAAAGGTTTAGCCAAATGGTACTAGCATATACTTTTTAAGGCCTAGCTTTTTGGTAAAGTACAGTACTTAAAGGTTTAGTCAAATGGTACTAGCATATACTTTTTAGGGTCTAGCTTTTTGGTGAAGTACACTACTTAAAGGTTTAGCCAAATGGTACTAGCATATACTTTTTAAGGCCTAGCTTTTTGGTAAAGTACAGTACTTAAAGGTTTAGCCAAATGGTACTAGCATATACTTTTTAGGGTCTAGCTTTTTGGTGAAGTACACTACTTAAAGGTTTAGTCAAATGGTACTAGCATATACTTTTTAGGGTCAAGCTTTTTAGTGAAGTACATTTTTGTCCACCTTTTAAACACAATAACAAAACTTCATTGAATGTTGCTGAAATATTGAGCACATAATACATTAACACTTTCTACGTTCATATAGCACTAGTACTTAATTCATGTAAATGTTAGTAAAAATGCAGAAAATTTAAAAAACAGCATTTTTTTTACAACATAAATACAAGAAATAATTTTTCAAGAAAATCTTAAAGTATAAAATGATAAACTGCAAATCCTAAGCTATAAATTTACTAAAACTGAATAACTGGCTAGATCTTACACTTATATATTCCAGTACACTTGTGTACAGGATTTAACAATTTCTTAACCCACAATATATGTTTACTTACCGTGTTGTATTTAAGGCTTTCTGAAACTGTTGTTTTCTGTATGCTTGTTCTTGCTTAGACTGAACAATTGGAAGTTTGCTATCAGGGAAAGACGTAACATTAAAACATTTAATTTTACAATTTAACTTGTTGTTTATTAGGGTTACAAAGTTAGCCTGGACTTTAATCACTAAACTAGTAACAAACAGCAATAACAATTATACGATTAGTAGGAGCAATTTCTCTAATGGATTATTATTATAAATACTTTTCAAATGGATTTAAACAAGCTAATTTCAAAACACACAGCCAGTGTTAATAAAAAAAAATAGTATGAAAAATAGTTTCTTTCTCAATTTTTATGAAATTCAAATTAATCTTTGGCTCTACCCTTTAACCAAATAGTTATTTCAGTCTTCCTGTACAAGCAAAACAAGACAGAGAGACATGTCGGAACAGAAGTCATAACTTGTTAAGGTGTGAACACCTTTTAAAAGCTTGTGAAGCATGATTACATAAGACTTTAGTAATAGACCTATTACATTTTTAGACACTACATTCTTTATCTAGACTCTTAGGGATTTTCAAGAATTAGAAGAATGTATAATAATAATAGTATTACAGCCACACTACATTTGTCATATCCATTGCTGAGGGTACATTTTGCTCAATCCAGAGTGCTTCAAATCAGCTGGATTAAACAAACACAGTAGTTTTTGTAATGTCTCATATGACAAGTATAATTATAATCATGCTTTGCTAGGTTTTAAAAGGCATTTGCATCATAACAACTGTTGTTGTACGTAAATATTGTTCTGACAACCATTGCAAAAAGACCATATAAGCAATTAGAAAACTAAGAATGTAACTCCATTTTGTGTGTTTGAAAGAATTTGTTTATAAGTAAATGCATGTGTGTATTGTGTAATAAAGGTTTTCATTATGTACATAATGCAATCTTTTTGACATACCATACATCTGGATATCAAACACAAAAAAATCCAAGTACCAGGACACTCTACAGTTCATTATCATCTCTGTTGACTGAAACATGACCAAACTATAAAAATCACTATTAAGAAGTAAAACTTTGCTGTTGAATAATTTTTCAATGTAGTCTACAAGAAACAAGTCTCCATATTCTCTTTTAAAAATGATCTCCATTTTTACAAGGTGGACAATACCTGTGGGCTTTAGTTCTCAAACGAACAGCTTTCTTCCAGACGTTATAATTGGATAAAATCTGCCTTCTAACACTGACAAGTTCTAAATCAACTTCTGTCAAACACATGTCAAGTATGGGCTTGGCAGCAAGAGCTCGATCTGTTAAACCATCTCTAAATTCCTGCAGATATTGCACTCTACAAAATGGTCAGAACATTACAACAGAATATTATACTTTTCTAATGTAGTAATAATCAAACAATATTTACATATGATTATATTAAAAAAATCTAGTTTTGTAACAAAAAAAAAGAAGAGGCTTAATCAATCTGCATACTAATTAATACAATGGAAAAAACAACATTATTATCAGCATAGCTTACTTCAAAGAAACTTTAACATATTATTTCTGAATCTTATTCTCCTATCATATTTTCCAAAAAATATGAAAGTTTAGAAATTTTGGTGAATAGTTGAATGATACAAATTAATGTGCCTTGAAGCAATATACTTCATACTCAGATTTGTCAGAAGCTTCGATATTCTAGTTATATATTGCTTTTCTAGTCCATTTTAGTTAAAAAAATGCTTCAGTCAATTTGTTATTAAAGCAACTTTAATTGTCATAATTAAATACATGTAAATATTTGTCAGTGCAGATAATAATCTGCTATCTTCTACACTTTAGAACTAATGTATAGCTAAACTCTTCATTCTTGTGAAGTCATGGTAAGGTTCCATTAAGTATATTTTATTGTTTTATAAAACTTTTGTATGGTTATTTTCAATAAATTATTCAGTAAAATGTGTAATGTTTGTAAAAAACACATGTTTTGTATCATTTAACTTTTATTTGTGTTTATAAGGCTATACCGACAATAAACTACTCTAATATCATTTTAAAAGTATTTATGTTGATCTGAAAGGACTTTGACTTGATTCTGGACTCAGTATAGAAGCCAGATCATATCTAGACTATTCTAGATTGCATTTGAAAATACAAGTACTTAAAATATCTAAAATTACAAAATATGCAACTAATATTGCATAAAAAAAGCAAGCGTATTTTACTCTTTGCTCTGTTAGTTGTTTGAAACACTGGGTGAACAATGTAAGTAAATAATCTATTAACTAGCATAAAAACAAAAATTACAACATGAAAAATATTATCAGATGTGAACTTACGTTGGCTCCCAAGGGAAAAGTTCAATGGCTGAGATTCTGGAAATAATCCTAAGAAAATGCATATCTTTAGCAGTTGTATTGCAATTACTTTTACCTAAAATAATTAATACACAGAGAAACATAATTTTTGAGCACACCTGAATAGTAAGTTTCAAAAACTGGTTTTAACCTAGTTAAGATAGAAATAAAAAGAGATCAGTGATTCTTAAACAGTTTTTTAACTTAAAATCACTTGTGGCTGCTGTTTAAACATACTGCCTTGCAAAAAACATCTGGAGATGTGTTCATAAGGAGAAGTCCTACTGACAACTTTCTTAATAGGGGAAGCACTTCACTTGATCCAATAAAATGTTAATATTCTAACAAGACATGCTAAAAACTAGTTTTTGAAAAGAGTCTGGTGCAATTTGTCTCCAATGTTGTTTCAAAAGCTCAGCCAATTAATGAAAATATAAATGTTGCATGTAATTCAAGGATGTGTCTGCACACAGTTACTTGATCTCTGTAAAAACAACAGGTTCATAGATTTAGTATTTTGAAGGAAAAGTGCAGTGACTTGTTGCAAGTTCATTGAAAGATACAATATATAGTGTTGAAGTCCGAGTCAAAATGAAAATTTTATTTATTGAAGAAAACTATCCAGGGCTAATGTGTTGTGAGGTACAATTAGAAAGTTAAAATGGATTGTACAAGAGGATTAAGGGAAGATAACTTATACAATATGTAGAAGTGACAGATATAAGATTGATACATGGATGAACTTTTACCAGCAAGTCTTGAATCTCCCCCCCCCCCAAAAAGAGAACTGTTCTTCTCAAAGCTCAGAATCACTCTCTTAAAAGCCCCAAAACCACATTCACAAAGAGGGTATTAGGATTTTGAAGTACTTGTGTTCCATGTGATAATTGCAAAGGAATTAAAACTTGGGAAAATTGTTAAATGTTATGGGTAGGAAATAATTATTGTTAAGACAGCAGAAGTCACATGACGCTGGGAGCATGTGCACTGGAGTTTCTCAAAGGATCATGAATTTGCCCGGCAACTCTAGTCTGATCGAGCTGCCCTCTTTTTTTAATATATAAACCTGGCGAGAAAAACCAGTGGGATAGATAGTTGAAGAGATAGATAATTGAGTCAAGCGACCAGCAGGCACCGTCAGTAAAGTGTGTGTGAATCTGTGATGTATAGCGTGTGTTATAAAGGTTGTTAAGTTTAAAGTGACTGTGGAAATTCTGTGTATTACAAAAAGTT